CCTCCCTCCTGCTCTGTGCCTGTGCAAACTGACTTCTTTGAACTCTATCGATGGGCCTTTCCTGCCCTCTAGTTTCCTGGTGGGTTTGGCCAATGGTGAGAATCTGCCAGAAATCAAAGGCACCCTCATGAGCTGGTCGAATCCCTCAACCAAAGGTCTTAGCCCCTATTAGGAAGCTTTCTCTCAACACACTCATCTCTGCCTCTAGGTCCCAGTAACTATTTCCTGCCCCTTAAGCCCTCAGGCCTAGAGATGGCAAAGAGCGACTGTTAGTGGTTCAGTTTCTGTGTTAATACTTGTGGTTTCCTGACACCTTACACTTTTGTATACCTCCCTTTATTCTACTGAGGGGGCCATCTATTTTGTCTGGGGACCAAGACAGCAGCCCAAGACATACACGATGCACATTGACCATTTCAGTAGACAACTTTTCCTTTTGGGAATTCCTGCTAGCATATAATAAAGTACTCCATTTTCTACATTCATTCAATTTTTCAAGTTGGAAATCTGGTATTCACCTAGACTTTATGATCCAATTCTTCTGATTCACCTTTCTGTAACCATCTTAAATCTATCCATTCCTCTCCATCTGTACTATTACAACCTCATTGTCCCTCATGGGACTAGCAATGGCTTCAGAGCTGGTCTCCACTCCGAGGAATGAGCTTAACTAGACAGAAGCAAAATGGCCCCAGGTCATGAGCTACGTTTCCCAAGGTGAACTCCTAAACTGGTTTAAACCCACCCACATCACTTAATCCCTCCCTTTACAGTGCTTGGCCCCATTGTCCACTTTCCTGCCTTCCCTGTCCTGCCAGTATCATCATCTGTTGATTGACTATATCTGTCCTCAATACCTCATCCACTTTGCTTCCGACCATCACATTTCATTCTCTCTTCTGGAATGCGGTTTTCTTGGGTTAATATATCACTAACGAGTACTCTTTTCCTCCCCTCATCCCCAGAATAAACCTAACCCTTCAACATCTGTCACCTGAGAAGAGCTAGAGAAAAAAAATTACACCAGGGTATATGAGAATCAGCATAACTTTATAGGGAACAGCCTCAACCATATGCTCTCTTCTCCAGAATAACTGCTTTAAATCTTCTTCGACCTCATCCTCTATTATATAGAGATGATAGAAGTCATCAGATGATGGCTCAGTAGACTCTTCGCCACTCCTGCCTACACATTGCCCTGCTTGTCCCTTCCTCATCATCTTCCATGACAAGAACCTATCCTCGGACTCCAGTGTCTCCTGCCTCCCTTGAACTGTCTGTTATCTCTTTTCTTTCCTATGGCTTTAACTTCTTTCTCTGTAGAGGATCCTTCACAGCATATCTTCAAAATAAGCGAAAAAGAAATCAATTGTGTCTTCATCCAACCTCTCCCTCTAGCTGCTGCTTAACTTTCTCTATCCTTTCAATGTCATCCTTCTTGAGAGAAACATGTTCACACACTGTCTCCATTTTCATACCTCTTATTCACTCTTCAGTCTCTATATACCACTCTGATTTCTCACCTCACTCCCCACTCTCCCTTGAGACTGCTATCAAGGTCACAGATTACTGCTATACTGTTAATTCAATGGAACGCTTTCAGTTCCTTCTTACTTGACCTCTCCGTAGCATTCAACACACTCCCGGAATGTATGTTCTCTTTCTGGAAATGCTCTCTTCCCTTCTCTTCACTTTCATGACGCTCGATGAATTTTTTCTATCTCAATAGCTGCTCCTTGTCAATCTCTTTCTCTAGTTATCTTTTACTGATTTTTAAAGGTTGGGATGTTTCATGGCTCAGTGCTAAGGCTTCCTCTCCTACCCTTAGCACAGCGGATTTACTTTTATAGGCTTAATTCCCATCTACCTTCCCATGATTTGTTTTCCTGCTCTTAGAATAAAGTTCTTACAGAAACACACAAGATCCTGAATGACCTCCCTCACCTGTCTCTGTAGGTTTTAACCTCAGTTTCTTTACTCCAAACACACTGTCTTTCTTTTATTCTCATTGCATCACTATGTTCCTTCATGTTCTGGGTCATGTCCACATTCTTCTCCCACTTCCTGCTATGGTCCATTCCCAGACTGCCCTAGTTTGGCTGTCTGATTTTTACTTATCCTGCAGGGTTTGTCCTCACCAGTACCTTCCCAGAGAAGCACTTCTCGAACCCTCAGACTAGGCTAAGTTCAATTCTTACATAATTTCACAGCACAGTGTGTTTCCCCAGATTATATTTTAGTTAATTATCAATGGAATTGTATGATATTTACTCTATCACCAGATATTGTTTCTTACTCCATTATGTCTTGCTGAGTGTCCAGCATATAGTAGGTAGTCAATATGATTCATTCATTCATTGAACATTTTAAGACTCCCTCCCAATTTTATAAAGTTTAAGTTCCCAAAATATTGATGCATCTTGAATCGCTACCCCAATATTTAATCTGACATAAAATCCATTTTTAAAAGTAGAACTCTGGAATATCTCTTTGGCTTCCCAGGATTTTTCTGGAAAGGGCAATCCACATGGCATTTCTGACCCACTGTCTGCTGACCAGTGAGGCAGACAACTAGGTCATTGCCCTCTGTGATAATTAGAAGGGGCTCCTTGCCAAGCTTCCCCAGATGCACGAGTGCATGGGCAGACCAGAAGCATCAGCTTGGTGATGTGCTGACTCGAGCAGGAATGGGGCTGGTCTCATCAGCTGCTGTATTGTTGAATTCCAGTGTCTAGTTCAAGATGTGGCTCTGAATGGTGCTACTTGCTCTCTTGGCCAGCTCTTGAGATGAAGAAGCAGAGATACCAGAGGTGCCAAGACAAGCTTAATTGGTGGCTAAGCATTTCACTAAAGTGAAGACTGGCCATCAGCCCCATGGACTCTCCACGTGCCCGGAAAGAAGCCAAATAACTGGCCAGCATCCCACGTCCACTCTCGGAGGCTGAGTGAGCCTGCAATTACAAGGAATAGGTTTGCTTGTCTTGTAGGATGGAAAGCCATTTTGTACCCGGGTTCCAGGAAACTGCTGTGGGGAGCAAAATTGGCTGACAGCCTCCAGCTGCTACACTTTGAGATTGCTGCAGCGTTCATGCCTGAGTCACACTCTTCAATGGCTTTTCTTAGCCAACAATTGATTCGTTTTTAATCAGAGCTCTCTTACGGATTCTGGCTTGATTTTTCCCTCAACGGAGTTTTGTCTCCCTTTAGCTTTGCACAGTACTGTTGTCACCTTCAGGCTCAGGTTGTGGTGGAATTTGAAGTAGGGGCTAATGTCCTGGGGTCACTGGTCTAGAGGGTGCAATTCCTGTTGGATTCAAAACAGGCACCATCTGCACTCGTTCTACATTTTTGAGGAAAGATGGTGGAGAAGGCTCACTCCCACATCCTCCTCCTGGACATTTGAATAAAGAGGCCCCTTGAGTGCCTTACCTTGGACTTCCCTTAATTAATGGCTGGTCCTGATCCTGAGCTGAACTTGAGCTCACAAATTTATAGTCACCCAAATCTCCATAAGCCTAGTGCTACTTATGGGAGTAACAGCCACTCTGTTCATCCAGCTGATTCCTAAATTTCACATAAAAATGTGTTCATCCTGCTAACGTCAAAGTTTCCCATGAAATATGTGGCATTCACAGGATATTCTCAGAGCAGAAGCCTCACCATTTTTATACCTCTTCTATAAAATTACATCAGGATTATTTTGATTGCAATTTAAGGTATCAACCTCATATTAGCCAAGCCAAAAAAAAAGAAATTTATTAATTTCAAAAATAAGGAAATCCAGTGGATAGATCTGGCTTTGCACACTGTTTCTTATTAATAAAGCATGAAGCCTCCAACAGCCTTGGCTTACCTGGTTCTCATAGGTGGCGATCTAAGGAGAAGGAGCTTATTTTGTGTTTGGTCCAGTGCAATACCAGGGAGACCTTGAGCCCTGAACCAGCTTGAGCCCCAAGCCCATTCCTGAAGCAATCACTGTACCTTAAGTAGTAGAAGTGCTTTGCACAGAAAATCGTTGCAAAATATATACTGGACACATGATATAGATTATTTACATGCAGACTATCTTTTGAAACTCCTATACATTAATAAGAAAAAGAAAAAATGACCTAAAAGGAAAATAGACAAAAGCCACAAAAAAGGAAAATGGATACCGAATATATGAAAAATTCTCATTACCAGTACGCCTTCATACATCCATGATTTAGACATCTATGAAGCCAGTAGAAATAATGAGATGGTGCTGTATACATGAACATGGAAAAGTCTCCAAGACATATTGCTCAGTAAGGAAAAGGTATTTCGCATAGGAGACCATTTTGGAAGCCACGGAGGGGTGTCTTTGGGAGAATCCTTTGCAATCAACAGCCCCATCAGCCAACTCAGTGAACTCATGAGACCAAAGAATGAGGGAAACACCAACACAGAGGGGAAAAAAAATCTTAAAACAATATGGTGAGTGCAGGGATAGAGATGTGCACAATAAATCAGAGAAGTCCAGAGGAGACAAACCTCACGCAACTTTGGGAAGATGTGGGATTTGGGGGCTGGAAATGACTCCCAGGAGAAGGCGATGATGGAGCTGAGATAGTGTTAACTGGGTGGAGAGGAGGGGAAAGCATGCCAAGGCGGGGAACAGTATGAACAATTCATGGAGGCAGGAAAGCTGTATATAGGGACCATCAGCAGGTTGCTAAGTATGAAAATAGAGGCATGAGTTGTAACAGATGGGACCAGACAGGTGGACTGAGTCCAGCAAGGCTCTGTATATCATGTTAGAGAGGTTTGAATAAGTTTTGATGTGATGAGGAGCCGCTGAAGCCTTTCGAGCAGGACAAGCTATCTGAAAAGAGAATTGAGGACTGGAAGACACAAGGCAGAGAGAACAGACAGGAGGTTACCACCATCATTCCCAGCAGACGAATGTCTGAAAGCGCGGTTGGGATAGGGCGATCCTGGTTGGAATCAAAGGAGGGGAAGAAATCAAGGAATGCTGATTCCTTGGTACAATCTGTAGGCACTGGTAGTGGGTTGGATGTGGGCGGTGGAGAGAGAGACATGGGGAGGAGACACGAGTAGATAGACGCAGGGTTCCGGTGTGAGTGCGCAGGAGAGGCGGTAAGCTGAGTCAAAGATCGGGAGAACTGTCCCTCAGGGAACACAGGGATGGTTGCAAAAGGCATCTGATATTGTCCTTCTGCCTCTGTCTTAAAAGGATTCTACAGGGATTTTCTTCCCCTTGTTCCTCCAGCCCTACACTTGCATTACTGGCCTAAGAGGATACTCACCAGCTGGCCGTGTCCATCATTACAGCCAAGTCTGAGAATTCCTGCTTATACTTAGAGCCTGTGGAGCTGCTGACACAAACAGTCATTAGCAGACGACCCTTTTGTAACCACCTATGCTTTAAAATGTAAACCGTGGGGGCATTTTCTTTGCGTTGTCCGGAGAGAACTTTCTGCTGCCTGAGCCTGAATTAATCATGAGAGAGCTCGTCAACATTCCACTGGTACATATTCTTACTTTGGTTGCCTTCAGCGGGACTGAGAAACTTCCAAAAGGTTGGTTTGAGCAATCTTGTTTCTTGTCGCCCTGTCACAGTCCTGAAGTGCGTGTGTGTGCTCTGATGGTGCCTGATTCATATTACAGCGGGCTCGGGTTTTACTTGCTGAAGTAGGGATGCGGTGTCTGGAGAGGGAGAAAACTATATAAATAAGCAATTGATTGATGGTCTCCTTTCTGGGGATAGCCCTAACCCTGCTTAAGTTCTGCAATAAGAAGTCTACCCGTATGGCGCATGCAGAACCCTCACTTGTAGGGGAAACATTAGCAGGTAGACTGCAACTTATCGGGGTCGGTTTGTTTATGTGTATGTCAAACTTCAGGGTGGTCTGAATGGATGATGAAAACCTTTTCGCATCGTTTGCCAGCAATATAATCAGCCCCACTCCCAGACATCCAGCGTGTTTGCTTCTAAATAAAAATCATTTCCGTGTTCAGTTTCAGCTTGGCAAAATTCTTAATCAATGTTTTCATGGCCCCCAAATCGGAATCAGAGAAACACACACACAAGTTGCCTCTAAAAGAAGAGCCTAAAGAACAATGGGTTCTCAATAACTTTGAGGCTGGAGTCATGGTTTGGTTTGGCAAGAGACTGTGAAAGGTTTTTTTTTCAGAGGCTTTGGAATGTACCGGAAATAACACCACCTCGGGGGGAAAGGAAAGCAACTTAAGAAACTGACAAGCACCTGTTGCAGGAGGGAGAATGTCCACAGTTTCTGGCCAGTGTATTATGAAACTGAGACTAGTGTATCTCAAATCTGGAAGAAAGAGAGGAAAATGGGTGATTTGTGACGTGACGGAGGGCTTCATTGAAATCTTTTTAAAAAGGACTTGAGAGAGCAGATTGCATGATACCCAAGTGATTTCAAGTTAAATGTATTACACTAGAGTAAAAAGAGTTCTGTGTTTTATGACACACTCAAATGAATTATTTTCCCTTCATCTTACTTCACCAAAGAACTGCACATGTTTGTATTGTGGAGAATAGTGAAGGTACTTTATCGTATGTAGATGGGAAACATAGCTTAGATTTTGTGGTTCACTAGAATTTCTGGAACCACAAGGTCAAAATTCAGATGCTAACAACACGCAGCTTTCTTCTCAAACAGTCTGATTTCATAGACATGTTTTGTCGTTTTCTTTTTCTATTTTACGTGAGCAGAATGGTATCTTCAAATGTAAACTAAATGCTTAATTGCCAGCTAATACTTTAAGGTATCTCCAGATAAAAGAGAGTATAGATCTTTTCAAACAGCTAATAATAGCCAGAAAGACTTAACATTGGCTTCAGATTATTTTAATACTTCCTGATCATACAACGGATGTCCGGGAAGGCGGCACCTGGATGTTTGCACTTATGGATTGTTACAGATCTATTTGTGCTATTCTAAACCATGAAGTTACATAAAAATGACATGGCTAAATGCTAAAATTTACTAAAATCCAGTCTTATAAGGAGCAGGACAATTGATTTTCTGGTTCAAATTAGAATCTTATGCATGAAAAAAAAAAAAGAAAAACCCTTTCCACGTGAACAACTCCTAATTTATATTCTAGAAAGACATAATTTTCAGTTTCCAAACTTTACAGGCAAAGCACACTATGTACATTTTTAAAACTTCAACAAAATATGGTAGCATAAACACAACAAAGCCAAAATCCTGGCTTCTAAATAAAATAGCCAGATTGTTAACCCAAATTTGTTTATTTGTTTATGCTTTATTTATTGCTATGATTAGACTGTAGAATCAAAAAAATGAAAACAGCATTTTAGCCTGGCCTACTATTTGCATATTACTGTAAAATCTAAACTGATGTGGGTTTAACATCCACGTTAGCCAACACACCAAGCCTAGAGGAGCAAACATGCAACAACTACACTTAACCAGTTCTGAGAATAAACGTTATCATGAAAACACGATCCTTAAAATTTTAAATGTTGACGTGCATGGAACATACTGAGACAAAAACATAATATGCGATTATTTTAATACTACTGAGAGTAATAAAATCTTTCCTTCACAAAATATCTCATAGATGTCTTCTCTGTTCTTGGCAGAAGGCAATGATAAAAAGATATTTTTAGATGCCATACCTTTTCCCTAAGTCCTTTGTCGTGAATAGATCAAGGCACCTGCACAATGATGTGTCACAACATAAACTGATGGATTTAAAATAGCGCAAGAGCATTCTATGGATTCTTTGCTGACTGTTGGCATACCGTTTCCTCAATAAAATTAATAACTGACTTTGTAGAATTAAATTTATTGTTACAGTTTTAGTTTGAGATCCCTAGTGTTCAAAGACAAAGGGAAAAATCACCATCTTTCTGAATCATCTCAACTAGTGATGCTTTCAACCATGACAGCTCCGTATCACACCACAAGTGGGAGAATTTTGCAAACTGTCATGTATGAAGAACACCTTCACGACATCCTTCAATAACGTTTAATGCTTTATCAGGGAGTATTGAGTGTCTGGTGGGATTTTCTGTAGGAGTATAGGAATTCATGGAAGCAGCACTGAATTTGTTTAATATGCACAAAGAAGTCCTGTCTAAACTCCACTTTTAAAATTACCCCACTTACTACCATACCTAGAATTTCTTGAGTCTAAGTGATTTCTCTGTAGGTACATTTAGGTAACTTCTTCTAAATCGTATGTATACAGGGATAGGATTCACAGATTCGACATATGACTAAGTCAGAGCGGGCACAGCTGTCATTGAAATCCAGGACACCAAGTCCTGGATGAATGTTTTATACTGACGTACATTGAAAGGGTAGCTCATTGCATGTTGGGGGAAACACAGTTGCTTTGAATTTTATTGACCTGAAAGAGCAGAAATATCAAGATTTCTACTGTATTTCCAAAAGTGAAGTGGGCAACTTCTCAGTGAAGCAGGACTTGAGATCACTGGGGGGGAAGTGACAAATGAGAGGTGAGTAGAGGTCCTGAAGGAAGTGGCCCCATTCAGGAAGATGAGAGAAGTACACCGAAGAATGTGGAAGGAGGACCTGCTGGGGCTGGGGGCTGCACGCCTAGACTGGCCCCGATCTACACTGTTGTTTCACTTTATCCAACAAGAACTTATGAACATTGGAGCAGTGAGGACAGCTGGTTGGATTAGTTCAAGATTGGTGTTTTCCAGGGTCAGTGCAGCTAAAGGACGAGAGAATAAGGGAGCTGAGATTACATGGCAACATGCAACGTGGTCCAGGTTAAATAATGAAGAAAGTGAAACGGAGATATTTAAGGCCTGGAAGAGAATGTTAAGATCAAGTTCCTTTTCCTAGTCTCCAGTGTCCTTCTGTGTGTCTTTAGGGAAAGCATGTAGTCACTGTAAGCCTCAGTTTCCTCATAAAATGAAGAAGTACCCACCAGTGCTCAACATATCGTGTTATATACTGTGCTAAGGATTGCCAATGACTGGTGGTATGATCGCTCCTGGAGGACATGGACATTTTAGATGAGTCCCTGTGAAATCATGTCCTCACCTCAAAGGAATGCCTCTAGGAGAAAAAGAATTTCTAGCTTCAAAGGAAATTTCATTTCAGAAATTCTAACAAGCTGACCCAGAACTCCGTGTCAATGTCCTGTGTCATTCTTGAAGGCGAGGACCAAGCGTGTTTTCTGTGACAAAGAATTAATGCTAGCATTAATAAGTGATGATTGAGATTACCAATGAACTTTACAAGTTCCAAAGACATAATTAAAAAAAAATATCGTATTTGATTACATCACCAGCAGAATAAATGTGTCAGTTTCTAAGATATGCCAAAGGATGAGCAATACCGAATATCATCTTTCTTTGGGGGATTTGAAATATTTCCAACACCAACGTGTTTTCTCATAGTGAAAAAAAATTCCTGTATTCATGATGTTAGAAAACCATGAATATGTTCCAAGTCTGAGCACTGATTTTACTAAAACAGAAAGGAGCATATACACCTGATTTCTCTGTTTATTCAGTCATTTGGTCATGTCACTCAGCAGCTATTTGATCAGAAGTTGGTGTGTCAAAGGCCGTGTGCGGGGACCCATAGAAGCGTAACATCATATCCTTCTCATCAAGCAGCGAGTATTCAAGTTCAGTTATTCTTTGGGTCCAAAAGAGCATTGTGTTCATTTTCATGTATTTATTGCTCATGTGGTCTTTGGATTGAGGGAAGAAATAGTGTCCTAGATTAAACAGGCCCTGGCTGAGATGAAAGCCGGATAGAATGAAAGCAAACAGGAGACAGTCTGCTGAGTCAACAAATATCATTAACTACCACTGTGTGATTGTGTCAGTAAAAATTTGAAAGCGGATTTGTTTGGATGATTTTGGAATATGGGCAGAGTGGACTTAAGCAACCATATTCTGCCTAATGAAATTCATACTGATGTAAATCTTTTTTTTTTTCCCTGCTTGTAATTCCAACTACACTGAAGATCTGGTATAGCTTAGAGTTAAAAGACAGCAACTTTAAACAACCTTAACCTTGAAGTTCAATTCTATCATTTCCTGCTCTTGTTTTGTTTAGACAAGTTATTTAACTCTTCTTTGCCTTCATTTCTCATCTGCAAATGGGAGTAATAATAGTATCTGCCTTTATGTTTGTTGTGATCAATGAAATCATGAATGAAGCATATAATGCATGGGCAATAGCAGGTTCTTAATCAACTTAAGATTATTAAAAACAGAATCAAACCTCACATAAGGCTGTTGTGCCACTGAGCATTAAGGGAAGGTGTTAATAAAGTTCTTAGTAACATCTCATGTATTTCTCCACACCTAAGTTTGTCAAGACATTCTAAAATTTACCTCTCTGATCATAACTGATCTCAACAGAGTTCGTGCCACCTCATTGGAAAGATAATAGTAAGACTGTGACCTCTGTCACTTCTGCATCTGTATATTAAATGACAAGAAACTAATGAATACATTTTGGGTTTTTTTTTTTGTAAAAATTATACACAGTCACTAAGAATGATTTTGAAAACACAAAAATATATA